ACACATGATGAACAAGAACCAGAGAGTTCTGAAGCTCCAACAACTCGTCAATCAGATCGTGTGAGAAGACGTCCCAATTGGCACTCAGATTATGTTATAGAAGGTAATATTGCATACTGTCTTTTAACAAAGGACAGTGAGCCATCAACATACCAGGAGGCAATAAACAGCTCAGATGCTTCACTGTGGATGATGGCGATGCAAGAAGAAATTGAGGCCCTTCATAAGAATAATACATGGGACCTTATGCCACTACCACAAGGAAGGAAGGCAATTGGTAACAAATGGGTCTTCAAAATCAAGCGAAATGGTGACGATCAAGTAGAGAGGTATCGTGCAAGACTGGTGGTCAAAGGATATGCTCAAAAAGAAGGTATTGATTTCAATGAAATATTTTCTCCTGTGGTTCGACTAACAACAGTTCGAGTAGTTTTGGCAATGTGTGCTACATTGAATTTATATCTAGAGCAGCTAGATGTTAAAACAGCTTTTCTTCATGGAAATCTTGAAGAAGAAATTTATATGCTCCAGCCTGAAGGTTTTGAAGAAAAAGAAAAGAAGAACTTGGTTTGCAGGTTGAACAAATCTATGTACGGTCTAAAGAAGGCGCCGAGGTGTTGGTATAAGAGATTTGATTCTTTCATTATGTGTCTTGGACACAACAGACTTAATGCAGACCCTTGTGCTTATTTCAAGAGGTCTGGTGATAACGATTTTGTTATTTTGCTGTTGTATGTAGATGACATGTTGGTTGCAGAACCCAACAAAGATCATATTGAAGAATTAGAGGCACAACTGGCTAGGGAATTTGAAATGAATGACTTGGGATCAACAAACAAGATTCTAGAGATGCAAATTCACCGAGATAGAAGTAATAGGAAGATTTGGCTTTCACAAAAGAATTATTTGAAGAAGATCTTGTCACGATTCAGCATGCAAGATTGTAAGTCAATTTATACTCCTCTTCCTATTAACTTCAAATTATCCTCCAGTATGAGTCCTAGCAGTGAAAAAGAGGATAGAGATGTCTCGAGTATCGTATGCATCAGCTGTGGGAAGTTTAATGTTCGCTATGATATGCACAAAACCAGACATTGCACAAGCAGTGGGAGTAGTTAGTCGGTACATGGCAAATCCAGACATAGAGCATTGGAATACAATAAAGGGGATACTGAGATACATCAAAGGGACCTCAAATGTTGCATTATGTTACGGAGGGTCAAATTTACTAATCAATGGGTATGTAGATTTTTACTATGCAGGGGATTTGGATAAAAGCAAATCTACTACAAGGTATGTGTTCAAAGTTGCTGGTGGAGCTGTAAGTTGGGTTTCAAAATTGCAGTCATTTGTGGCTACGTCAACAACAGAAGCAGAATATGTAGCAGCTACACAAGCTAGTAAAGAAACAATTTGGTTGAAGATGCTATTGGAAGAGCTTGGGCACAATCAAGAGTATGTCTCTCTATTTTATGACAGTCAAAGCGTCTTGCATCTAGCAAGGAATCCAACATTTCATTCAAGGACAAAACACATACGAGTTCAGTACCATTTCATTCGTGAAAAGGTGGAAGAAGGGATAATAGATATGCAGAAGATCCATACCAAAGACAACATAGCAGATTTCATGACGAAGGCGATCAATGCTGATAAATTTACCTGGTGCCGATTCTCCTGTGGCCTGTCAGAAACGTAAGCAACATGAAGGTATAAGGTAGAAAGAATGGTGTGAAGATATGATTGTTCCAATTAAATCTTCAAGTGGGAGATTGTTGAAAGTCAAGCCATTTCGGTGCAATTAATGCACTAAATGGCAATTGTCAAAAAGCTTGGGCTGTAGAAATTGTTTTCAACATTCGGTGCAGCATTTGTTGATTTTTCAACAATGATAAAACCTCAATTTTAGCCATTGTAATTTAGGGTATTTACAAATTAGTCCTTAAAGCTTCAACTATAAATACCCTATCTCATTTAGCTTCAAAACCATCCCAAAGCATTCTAGCTTTCTTCCAATACTAGAGAGAATTTAGAGAGTTTCTTGAGAGTTGTTTTCTCCTTTTTATCAAGAGAGAATTATCATTGTTTTCTCCTTGGTAGATCGAGAGAGGTTGTAATTCCTATTTTTTCATAGTGAAATTCTTCTACCGTTGCCCGTGGTTTTTACCCTATATTATTTAGGGGTTTTTCACGTAAATTTTGTGTCTTCTTTATCTTCATTTTTATTTTCTCAAATTATTAGTTGCATTTTTGCTCTATCCGATAGCCGTCTTCCGCAACATTTTTAGCTTTCAAAAGTCATCATTCAAGATGATCCTCAGCCTCCTCAAGCGCTTTGGGAATCAGCTGCTTTCGTTCTCTCCAATGTTCTGCGTTTCGATGCCAAGTACTATTTTAAAGTTCCTTTGATTGTTCTGATCAAAATGTTGCACTCCACGGCGGAGAGCACCATTACGGTGGCTCTCAGTGCCTTAATTGTCCATGAAAGGAGTGATCCTTCAAGTGTCGAACAGATTACTGAAGCTGGAGCTATAGATGCTTTATTGGATCTACTTCAATCTCACCAGTGTAAAGAAGCTTCTGGCAGACTGCTTGAAGCTTTATTTAACAATGTAAGGGTACGAGAGAAGAAGGTTTCTAAACATGCAATTGCTCCCTTCGCACAGTATCTGTTAGACCCACAGACAAGATCAGAATCTATAAGACTCCTTGCAACTTTAGCTCTCTGAGTATGAACGACATGCTAGAGCCAGTTCATTCTGTTTCTGGATGCCGTGCACTTGTAAGCTTGCTTGAAGATCAGCCAACAGAAGACATGAAAATGGTTGCAATTTGCGCATTGCAGAACTTTGTCATGCGGAGTAGAACCAATAGACGTGCTGTTGCTGAAGCAGGTGGCATATTAGTAATCCAGGAACTTTTACTTTCTCCTAATGCAGAAGTAGCTTCTCAGGTAGCACTGCTGATCAAATTCTTATTCTCTAATCACACGCTTCAAGAATACGTATCAAACGAGCTCATCAGATCTTTGACAGGTGATATAACATTGCAAAAGCTTTTTCCTTTTGTAATTTTTTGGTATCAGTTCGGAGAGTCTAGATGTGTATTTAATCTTATTGTTTTAATTGAAATTAATGTTAGTAAGAGAAAGAAAAAGTATTGTTCCACAAATCTGCTTGAAACTCGGCACAATTCATTTCTATCTGGAGTTCGTCTACATGATATATGACTATTGTTTTACGCTTAAAAAACTTCTAGCCAACACGCAATTTCAAAATGAGTCTTTCCTCGCTTTTGGTTCTCAGCATTGCATTTGATATTGAAATATGTAATCATTTTCTTCTATCAAAAAAAAATTATGTAATCATTTTGTCGTGCAGCTGCCCTTGAGAGAGAACTGTGGTCTACTGCAACTATTAATGAAGAAGTCTTGAGAACATTAAATATGATATTCGCCAACTTTCCCTAGCTCCAAATTGAAGTCTGCAGGTATAGATTTATCAAGAAGGTCGATGTTTCTCATTCTTTTAGATTTCATTTATTTAAATGAATTTTTTAGCATATCCAGAATTTCTTCATTCATTTTGTAAAACTCTCCACTCTGTGCAGTGATATATCAATATATCATACACTTGTTATGTGATGGAAACATAAAAATTTAATAACTTTACCCTTGCCTTGCTGATTGCGTAATATTTTATTATCATCATCAATGGCCACAGACTTCAACACAAATGGCTTTGTACTACGATTAGGTCGTGAAAACGTGGACTTTTGATGTGCCCCCAAAGGGACAAAAACTTCATATCGTTTGCAAAAGTAAAAATACTTTTGGGAAGGTAAATGAGATTTTCCAAATCTTGTTCTGAATATACTATGGTTAAATTGCTGTAATCTCGATGCAGTGACATTCTCGGGTGTGCTTTGATGAACAGTTTTCGTTTCATAGTTGATGGAAAAAAGTGCTAATAGTTATATTTTCATCATATCTTTGGCAAACTGTCTTTTTTATTTCTGATGGATATGTTGGTTTTTTCAGACAACTTTAGGAAGAGTGACTATTCAGATCGACGAAGTCGTGACTGAGGGAGTATACAGTGGTTTATTCAGCCTGAATCCTGATAGCACCAAAGATGGGTCTTCCAGAACTCTTGAAATCGAGATAATATGGTCCTACAGGATCGGAACGACGAAAGCATATAATGGATTACAGGTTCATTTCTTTACAAGCAACCACAATGGAATCAGGCGAGGAAATTTACATGAGAAATACAATAGGAGTTTAGGGGTGCTTGCTTTTAAGCATATTATGTATATATTAAAGGTCCAGTTTTTGTAGTAAATGGTTTAAGAATGTAAAGTAATAAATGTTTATTAATTGATGCGATGAAAGAGGATAAATCCAAGAGAGGTCCCCCCAAGTGTAGGTAGGGAGTATAGGAGCTGCATAGAAGTTCCATTCTTGCGAGTTATGTCTTGTTAAAGGATGCGATGGCTTTGCAAAAATGCATGTTATACAAACGGCTTCTTGTAGCACGAAGTGCTGCTTTGTCTAATGAATTAGCATTTGATATATTAATGGTAGAGTTTTTAAACTTTAGCTTCATTAAATATGCTATTTGATATACTAAGGTTGAGTTTTTAAACTCCAAAAAGCATTGAGGAAGTGTAACTGATTTAGAAGCATCATTATTTCGTCATTTCTGATCAACCCATTGGACAAATAGGCATGGCATTAACCATGACCCCCTCCTGATAAAACTCTAATACCATTACAACCACAAAAGCTGACTTAACAAAATTGATGTGTCGTTTCTTTGATATACTTCTTATGAACCCATTGAATCACCAACACGTGCATGGATTTGGCTGATGCCATTGCCATATATATATATATATATATATATATATATATATATCGTTTGATTTATACCAATCTCCCATCAATCCATGGAAAGTGGAAATCAACTACCAACCCTAACATTTTACTCGGCCTACAGGAAAACAAAATACTCACTTGCATCGCTATTGATATGATGAGTTTACATGAAATAGGAATCACTTTTTGACTGACTCGGGTGACTCACTAGCTTTACTTGTCTTTACCCTTATAGCTTCTCTTGTCCTGATTTTCCAAACTGAAAATGTTGTTCGACTCGGTTTACTTCTACTCAATCACAAGCTGGCAAGGAACAAAGCTAACGGGACTACATCTGAAATGCCTAAAGAAAAATAACTACGCAGAACCATAATGACTACGTATGGAAGGAGACGAACATGCTTTAGGTATTCACGACTCACAGACTACATGCGCAAAACACTTGGTATTTGTCAGGCCAAAATCACACAAAAAGAACATGCCGAGATCCCCAGTGGGAGAAGAAACGAGGCCAAGCTTCATGAACAGCTACTTTGCTGCAGAAACTAGAGCAGATCTAGCTTGCGTGAAAGTAGCAATGAGTGATCCCAGTTGCAATTTATCATTGCACCCAAAACTCAAACGATACCTGCAAATGGTAAAACATACCGGTTGATGCCATTAGCTACTATCAGATATACATTCCACAATTCACACCCATTATACAATATCAGCTATGGTCTTGATTTGAAATACCAAAATAAATTATGTTCACAAATACAAATATAAATACAAACAGATATTTAATAAACATTTCTTTCATGATTCCAAAAACAAAGCCAACAGTTCTTTTTACAGGGATTGCATATCTACTAGTCAGTTATTCTTCAATCTACTATCTAATATGAAAGCCTATTTATATTGATAAGCATAGTTCTTTCCATAATCTGGCCCATATTTAAAGTGTTCAACAACTTCGCCAAAAAAAATTTCCAACGACCATCAAATAACCCGAGTAAAATGACTCTAAAACCTCATTAGGGTAAGAATACTCTAAATGGAATCCCAAAGCAAGCAATTCCTGATACTTGCAATAAAATAGTCTTAATCTATATGATAAATACAGCTTATTTACGAAATTGTTTCAAAAGTACTTTTCCCCTTAATTCTTTTGGTTCCTCTTTTATATTCATAACCAGTTTTATGATACATTCATTATTTAACATCTCAATATCTTGGCTTTATTTTTATCATTCAAAACATCAACCGTTTACCAATTGTTCATGTGTTGTGTTGTATGTGTGCGTATCTGAGTTGAGAGATAGCAGATATAAGTACTTACTCTATGGCTGCCAAGTCGTTAATTAACTGAACTCGAACATCTGAGGGCATTTTAATCTTAAAAACAAACCTGTTAAAAAGTGTACTGAATGAATATCAACCAAAAAAAATTTAAAGAGTAGCCTTTTAGGAGTTAAAAGAGACATGGCACTTACATAGTCAATTCCCTCACAATATCGATCAAGGCCAATCCTTTACTTGTCTTCGTTTCAGAAACTCCTACGGAGAGTTAATCACAGAATAAAGATTTGGTGTTAAAATGCAGATCTAAAGATGACAATTTTATTAACTGCATAACAAACAGAAAGATTGAGACAAGTACGTTTGAAACTCTCAGAAAATGATTCATTCAGAAGCCAGTATGATATTTGCTCAATGTCTTTAGGCAATGGATTTCCAGTACAGAGATACACTGCTTCTTCTGTAATCTTCAGAGAAGCCATGTGTGTTGACTGCATATAGCAAAGAAATTATTAACAATACTACTCTTGCACATTCATTAACACAACCACTTTAGAAATAATAGGCATCACACTCTCCAAAATCCCCCAGTATGGAAAATAAAGTACATTTATTCACGCACTTGAGGATTCAAGTCAGAGAGAAGTGTATAATTCCCAAGCTCAAGTGCCAGCTTTAAATCCCCTTCCCCAAGTGCGAAAAATATGTATCCTATACATTAAAACTAGTGTTGAGATCACCTGAAACAGAAATCACGTAACCTAACACATCAAGCACAAATTAGACGAGGCTACACTACCCCTCCAAAGAATAATGAGATCATACGGTAATGGAACATGACTTTTGCTACAAAGCAAAGAACATATCGATGCCAACCTGTCATTTGTCTGACACTCTGAATTTCTTAAACAAGTGACTATTATCGTAAACCAATTTACGCAAAAGCAATATATGAGCAAGTGGTTTAGATACCTGCAAAATGTTTAAAGCCTTTCTCATGTCACCATTGCTAAGCCGTACAAGTGCTGCCAAGCCACTATCAGTTACATCAAGCCTGGTCCAATAAAGCAAAAATTGCAACAGTAGTCAGGTGAAAGATTCAAAGATAAGACCTAAAGAACAGAAGGTAAATTCATATGAGATATGCTAAGGCACAGATTTTCACTTTTTAACAACTCTAACACAAGTCCAAATAGCTTGATAAAGCTATATCTTAAAACTTTAAATCTACAATGGTTTCATATTTATGCAAGCTTGAACCAAGCCTGAAAAGGCAAGCTCTAGCTTAACTAGTGGCAAAATTGAAAATGAACAGTTCTAGCTCAATTTGGAGCAGGACAATAATTGGAAGGTTAAAATTATGATGAGTTGGAAACTACAAAATGCATGAAAAAAATCATTTATAGGCCAACAAGCATTGGACTCATGTATTAAATGGGAACTGATCATGTGCAACTCAACTCATTTGCAGCCCTAGGAATGAAATAACATAGTGACCATCCAGAAAATCAAAATTTTATGATGTCTTTGAATTAAGTTAAAGCTGTAAAATTTTAACAATGCAAACAATGAGAATATATAAGAAGAAACTTTTAATGGGTTCTAGCATTGACAAAAAAGAACTACAGGTAAAAACTATAAACAGGAATTATCTTGCATTCTAGTAAGCTTGTAAACTATCAATATTTTAGCTGATTATCACCAATATAGAAACTCATTCCCACCTCTTTTCCACATAAAAGAGCACTTAAATTAGAAACACTTCACTCCAACCCAAAGTTTAGCACAACACAAATTAATGGCAAAGGAAACAGAATACTTACCCTTCAGCCTCGATAACATGCCTAAGACGCTCAGTGACATGAATAGGATCGAGAGGTGCAAATCTGAACCGAGTACATCTGGACTGTAGAGCTGGAATGATCTTGTTCACATGATTACAGATCAGTGCAAACCTAGTATTCTTTGTGTATTTCTCAATAACTGCAGACAATCACTAAAAATGTAATTACAAAAAGAAAGGGAAAAAGTAATAAAAACTTCCAATGAGATAATTCCGGTAAAAAAAACTATACCTCTACGCAGGGCAAATTGGGCATCCTTTGTCATAGCATCTGCCTCATCAAGTAAAATCAATTTTACGGATGACTTCGCCCTGCGAAAACCTCAATATTAATCAACAGGTTACCTTTGCAAAGCATTTATTCAAGCCCAAAGATAACAAAATGCTAAATTATGAACAATGTAGACGAAAATGCGAGCAATATCAGCGGCAATACAAGAGAATGACTGGATTTAAACAACCAAAAGCAACTTCTGCAGTTCCATTTTCATAAATAGCCAGTGGCGGTTATCCAGCTAATGCATAATATACAATTGCACACAATAAAAGGAATTTACCCAAATGAAAAGCTTTGGGTGCTAGCAAAATCTTGAATTTGTTGCCTGACAACATCAATTCCCCTATCATCAGAAGCATTCAACTCCAGAATCATATTATGATAATGTGCTCCATAAAGCTTCCGTGCAACAGCCAGAATGGTGGATGTTTTGCCTGTTCCAGGAGGACCATACAATAGAAGATGCGGCAATCTGTTCTCGCTTGTAAGCCTATCAACTAATTTACACCAACAAAAAGCGGAGTAAACAATTTGTAAAAACACACACACACACACACGAGTAAAATATCATCAAATTTCCTTCAATTGAGTAACGAAGCAGACCGATTACATTAACCTATTTCCTTTTACTAATGAACAGTTACGCAATAGTAATGAGAAAAAATTGAAATCTCGAACTCAGTTCCTGCCTTTCCTGGAATTCATTCCTTTTGTACCCTATAATCACAGTAAATCCTTAAATAGAAAAAAAATAAGTGGAAATACATTTTAAAAAACCCTAGGACAGATAGAAAATGAATTACTGGTATCAACGATATCGCGGTGAGCGGCTACGTCGGCGAGGGACTGAGGACGGTACTTCTCGACCCAGGGAGTGGCTTTGATATCGGTGGGTGTGACTACACTTTTGCCCTTGTTTAGCTTCTGTGAGCCATTTTGTTTCTGATGCTGGTCATCCTCGTCGATGTCCATCAGCGAAATTACTTCCGCCATAGCCGTTAAATTTCTTCTTCGCTTTGTCCCTTCTTATTACGGTGCTACAATCGTGGTCGTTCGATCTCCGCCATTCGACACGGTTTACGAGAAAATGGGGTTTCACTTCACTCGTTGTGATATTTTACGAGTCTCTGTCTTATGGCGCCAACCCTGTTTTTGAAGCGCTCTTTTTTCCGTTTTCTTAAGCCATGACCAAAACTCTCGGGAGAATCCACTCACTTGGACGGACAAGTTTATCTTCTCACTTAACTCCATTAGTCCATACGATAAACTATATGATTTGGTAAATTCAATGAAAATAATTTATTTTAGAATAATTTTATTTTTTTCAAAATTTAAATTTAAATTGTATATATTTTTATTTTATCTGTGTATTTTAAATTTAGTATCTTTTAAATCATATTTATCAAATGTAGTTATTAATTTTGAGAAAATACCAACATATGTTTAACAATTTAAGTTTAATATTTAATTTCATATAATAACAAAAAACCTTTGATATTTATTATTTTTTCAGTTACACCCTTAAAAGTTTTCTTTGAAAATTTAAATTATAATATTTTAGTTATATTCAAATAAATCTCCTTTAAATGATCAATTAACAGCCAACATTTATATAGACATGATGTAATAATATTAAAAGTATAATTAAATAAATAAACAAACATTAACTTTTTCTACTATCGTGCTTTTTGAATTCTCAATTTATAATTTATTTCATATTTAAATAAAATAACTAAAAATTATTAATTAATAATTAAACACAAAATTAACAAATTTCTATACTAATATTTTATAGCTCCAACATTCGTGAAATAAAAATTTATAAATATTTTATATAAAAATATTGTTTACACTTTCCATTTAGATAAATAAAAAGCAACATAAGAAAAAGCTTAATTATTACATAAATCTTAAAGCAGTACCATAATAAAGCATATATTTAAACTTAGAATTAGAAAAATAGTAAAATTTCAAATAAAGTATAATACTTATTCTAAATATGCGTTATATTTTTTCTTTGTCAAAATTAAATAATGTAAAATGACTAAAAAAATCTCAATTGCTAACTCGGAACAAATAAAATTATTACCATGCGTAGCATAGTGTCGTATACTACTCTGCTTGGTGATACTGAATTAATGGCAAAGAAAATGCTGAAATAAATAATGTCTTGAAACTACATTATTACGTACGAAATAACCTTAAAAGGGAAGACAGTGGAACTTGTTACCATCCCAGCAAAGCACGGATTATGCGCAGTATGCTACCACTGAGAAGAGCCTGCAACAATCTGAGCTTTCCACGTGTGTATGGCGGGTACCTCAGAGATGAATCACCGGAAAAACCTTTATACAGAACAGCCTTCTTATGGCTAAAAGCATCGAAGGAGAATTTTCCATGGTACGAACCCATTCCGCTCTCCCCAACTCCTCCGAATGGTAAATTGTGCTCAGCAAGCTGAAATATTAGTTGATTTGATCGACGTGAAGACTGGAATCTAAGGTGTATTTTAACTGATCCCGATAATTAACTAAAAGTAAAAGGAAAGTCCTTTACTCATGAATCCCAAATGGAAATCTACGTATAATTTCCGGCTGCCACAAACCATACAATGAATCGATGCTTTTGCCGGGGCAATGATGACCCTTTACATGAAATCTGATCCTCGCCTACTGATTACCCTAGAAGATTATTATCTCAACGATTGAATTCATTCTAACAGTTCCTTGGCTTGGACCAAATGATTTACCGAAAAAAGCAGTTTAAATCTAAGGGTAAACTACATCAGGTACTACCAAACTTTAGGCATTGTATCATTTATACCACTAAACTTTCAATTTTACCAATTACAGTGTTGAAATTTGATTTTCGTTTCAAATATACCATTGAACCGTTAAATAATTAACAACCGGACCAAAATGACAACATTTTGGTGAGGTGTCTAAGTCAGCTTCCGTCAACCACGTCATCGTGCCATTAACGATTTAATGGTTCAGTGGTATAATTGAAATGAAAATCAAAGTTTAGTGCTATAATTGACAAAATTGAAAGTTTAGTGGCATAAACGATACAATGCCTAAAGTTTGATGTATCTAATGTAGTTTACCCTAAATCTAATGTCACCAACTAATCACTGGCTTATAATTTCCTGGTGACATTCTTTAGGGTCTAACAAATTATTTTTCAAACCTAATTTCACAGTTACGCATTTCATGTTTTTCATATCGATTTAACCATAAGGATACAATCAATATGCTCCCTCATTAGCCAAATCAAGGGATCATTTGTATTCTATCCAATATCCGTGGAGATTGCCGCCAATTCCGAAGGTAATAATGTCTAAATGTAGATTGTATAACAATGCATGTATGTCTATACCGGTTCCATAAGTTGAAAGTATACTTACATGTACAGTAGTGTCATTGACGACTAAACCCCCGGCAGAGACCTCTGCAACGAACTCCTCTTTTAACTTGTTGTTATTGGTAAAAAGATATGCTGCTAGTGGCTTCGCTCCACAAGAATTTATCACATCAAAACTCTCTTCCAGTTTATCGACCTGTTATAAACCAACCACAAGAAAATCATGATGAATGACCCCTATTCAATCTCTATAAATGAAGAACAAGAGCACTAGTCCAATTATTCATTAAAACTTCCTCGACGCCATAAATAATTGGAGTTAGTTTCAGTCAGGTCATTTTCATGCAGAGAATTCATAAACCAAGTTATATTCTATATTTTGCTCGGACTCTTCAATTTGTTAAAATATGAGTACGGGGATATAACCCTCAAAGGATCCTTCAAATACATAGGAAAACTCAACAAAAAAAATTAACCATGCCCCTGCCAAATATATACCTGTACTCAAAACACATACCCCAGTCCGAGTTACATAGGCAATATCCTCAAGAAGATCTCTCTGTTCATATGTAGAACTTTTAATTTTTCCCTTGCAAACTTTCCAGAAAAATATTGCTTAGTCATTTCTTGTCTAATTATTCATGTTCCATTTGAAGCAAATGATATGCATTCTCTTTGCTCAATCAATAAAAAGAAAAGGTTTAAATCTTTACCATAATAATCGCATGGAACCAACAAAAAGTAAAAGAAATTGTAAAATAAATAGCAAAACATTTTGGTGCAATTGACACTTTAGTTCCTACCATGATAATCGGAAGCAACGGGCCAAATATCTCTTCCTTCATGATTAGAGAATTTATCGGGACATCAAGCAAGATAGTGGGAGCAATCTTCCTGTCATTGGAAGAAAGAAACGATCATCAACTATTAACAATATAAATTGTCCGGTGCACTTTAAATGAGAAGCAAAGCCCAGATTAGAACTGACAAGTTTGTTTCATCTTTCTGACCACCATGTGCAATCTTACTAGAAACCTTGTCCTCTTCCAAGAGTTTTGACAAGCGATCAAAGTGGTTAGGGTTCACTATGCGAGACAAGTCTTTTGATTCCAGTGGGTTTTTTCCATAAAATTGCTCCAATTCACATTTGAAAGAATCTACCTGCAGGGTAAAAATAGCTTGAGAAGAGCGATTGAAAACTAAATGGGTTACAACTTACAAATGTTAACATGTACGAGCAATATTACCAATTTCACAGCATAATCTTTTGTTGTAATAACATAATCAGGAGAAATACATGCTTGTCCATTATTACACCCCCACTTCCCTGCAATTATCCTCCTAGTTGCAACCTGAAACACACAAAGAAAAATGTAAGTCAATCAGAAAGAAAGTTGACATCATGGCAGAATTGAACACACTGCATACCTTTAAATCGATGCCTGAATCAACAATGACAGGTGACTTCCCTCCGAGCTCCAAAACAACTGGTGTTAAGTGCTTTGCGGCAGCTGCCATTACAATTCGCGCAACTCTTCCATTGCCTAAAAATTTAAAAGATGTTTTGACTCAGAACTTATAATCAGAACTGATATGACAATGACTAAAGCACTGATTAGCATACAGGGAAAATTAGAGGTTCTGGGAGAGCACCAAAAATTGGTCACAAGGGTTCAACTTGTTGAAAATCACTTTAAGACTTGAGTACATTTTACTTTCAAATCTCTAATCTAAAAACAGCATATCAGCAGAGTATCAAATAAATATGCCAAAGAAAACCCCTGAAAAATCCCCCCAAATCCTCTTCATTCTTATAAGATCCCAAAGTAAGAAACTTTTTAGAATCATTAGGCCAGCAAGACTTCCAATTTCCAATAAACTCTAGACCATTTCCAGTGCTTCATTATCCATAATCACCCTCAGGGAACACATTAGCTTGTCAAACTATGGACCATACAACTGTCTTCTATGTCCCCATGAAACACTCTTCTTCATCTGTCTAGCAATTCCCGAGGATAGGAAAAGGTTAAAACTGAAGTGAGATGTCAAAGAAAAGAGCCAATCAATAATGCCATAATGTTCTGCACTTCAGAATTTGAGGTCCCAAACCAGATCAAGGATGTTGGAGTTGATTTGGTCAAGCAGCCGGAAGTAACCACAAAACATAAATCCTAGAGAGAGAAATGATTGCCAAGAGAGTCTACTAAGTTTTATAAGAACACCTATTTACAAAAAAAAATATGAGTTATACGCCGCCCAACAACGAAGAATACTTAATTTTACCTCTAACACAGCTTCATCCACAGAGTGATCTAAACTATATAGAAGCTATAAAGAAATCTAAACTAAATGCTAAAACGGAAATCCTGTTAAATCATCAATACCACTTGCTCTTCCACGGAATTGAGCCTTAACACAACACAGCGAAAATATATGACTTCCAATCCTACCCAACTGTAATAGAGATTTACAATATCCAACAACCACTGCTACCACAAGCTTTTTGAAGCATTATGTACATATCACAGATGAAACTAAAATGCAGCTGTCCAAGAATGCTTAAGTAAGGCATAAAAGACTAAGCAAGAGAAGAAGGTAAATAGATGCAAATGTGCAAAGGACCTGTATAAAATATTTTGTCCCACTTTTGCTCCAGTAGTGCTGATGTTTGAGGAACTGCTCCTTCAACAACCTTAATGCAAGAGCCATCCAAATAACGAGCTACAAGCTTTGCAAGCAAGGATGATGAGGCTGGAGCTAGTTCTGATGGCTTTAAGACTATAGCATTACCAGCTGCAATAGCTCCAACCATTGGATCAAGAGATAATACTGAAAGAAGAGATACAAATATAGTCATATTCCAA